TCTAACATGATCCATGGTCACCTGAATGAGGGAGGACTTATGCAGGTGGGGTTTATTATGGATGTGTCTCCTGTTTCTGATGCGGTTAGTTTGGGGTCCACAGAATTGGGAGCAACTGCATTATTCATAAGGCTTGGGAAGAGAGTCTTAGAAGTGAAATTGTTTGTGTTCATGACCCCGGAGTCAGTGTTTGGGGTGGACACTGTGATCTGATTTGTAGGGGATTGGAAAGACTTGCGGCCTGAGCAAGGAAAAGAGATGGCCACGGGGCGGGGAGGGGGGCAGTCGTACACATGACTTTATTGGGTGAGAATTTCACAGGTTTGCAGAGACAAGTCCCTCCCAGCAGGAATCTGTGCAGAGAATAAGGTTCCAGGGTTGCTTCTCAAAGCGATGGGACACTGGACAAGGGGTTGTGTGCCTAGGGGATGCCACAAAGCAGCACAGTGGGGAGTTTCTGGTTTAAGCTTTTCATAACTGGGGTTTATCTTATTGCTAGCAGATGTGGTTGAAATTTTCTGGACATGAAAAGTAAGTATTTTCTGAAAATGCTAAAAATATTCATCTTTGGGCTGTTTTTAAAATAATTACATCATAAAATTTGAGCTTGAAAGAGGCCATTAAGAAGTGAACACAGTTTTGAAATAAACAACATAGGGGACAGGATGGACACATAGATCGTCTTTAGCTCATTTATATATAGCACTGTTTCCAATTCTGTAGACTTTGTTCTACAGACTGTATTAGTCCAAATTGTCCAAACCAACACTACCATGGATGAGGCTGAGAAGCACAGAGGCCTGTTCCCCACCTGGGGCGCCATGAAGGTTCTTTTTGATTGAAGGGGAGAGTTTCTCTTTGGTTGAAAATCAAGACCAAGCCACTCACTGAGCATCCCTTGGTGAAGTTGCAGGTCCTGTGACTGGATTCCTGGCTGCAAGGCACCTGTGGTTGAAGCTATCTGTATGATCTCACCACCTGTAAATTGTCACTCAATGGAGCATAGATTCACAGATAAATACTCTGGAACACAGACAGCACAGGGAATGAAGGCTCCGTGAATGCGTATCTTCTGCTTCTGAGAATCCATCTCTCCAGCACTGGAAGAAACAGGGTTGTTTGTATGTTGCACCTTCAGGCCCTGTTCTAAACCTCTCTAAGCTGAACCTCTAATGTTTGAGTTATTGTTCTTTACTTTTTCTTGGAAAAAATGTTTGGAAATCCTATAAAACTATGCACACAGCGGTGGGATTAAGTGGTCAGCCTTGCCTCTGTTCTTGTGAATGTTTTTGTAGAGCCCACCTCCCCTACCAACAAACTGCACAAAGTGAAGCAATGATTCTGTTTCCTTCCTGAGCATTCTGTGTCGTCACTTCAATCTCTGTCTCTGTCTTCAATTCGACTTCTCTTCTGCAGGCTTTGTTAAAATGTCTGCCTATCTCTATCTTATAAGGACAATCGTGATATCCTTATAAGATAGAGATAGGCAGACATTTAACAAAGACTTTTTATTGGCCCACCTGGGCCAGGGCCCACTTGGTCAATACAGGATAATCTGCCCATTTCATTAATGCCCTTAATTTACATGTTCAATTACATTCTGATGAGAAAGCAAAATGGGCTAAAAATGTCATCCTCAAGGAAACATTCATGTTTAATACACAGAAACTGAAGATGAAGTCTGAGTTCTCCTTTCTCATGAGAGAGTTGGAAAAGCAGGAGGAAGAGGAGCAAAGCTGGGTCCCCATGTCCCTGAGGGCCTCCTGAGGCTGCTCCTGCTCACAGAGTGGGGAAGGCAGATGAGTCAGCTTGCGCTGCCACACCAAAAACACTGGACTGGATGGCATAAACCACAGCATTTAATTTCCACATTTCTGGTGCCTGGAATATTGCAGATCGATGTCCAGCAGGGTTTGTTTTCTGGTAAAGACGTTCTTTCTGGTTTGCAGATGTCACCTTCTCACCATGTCTTCACACAGCCTTTCCATAGAACAGAAGGCTGTTAGAGAAAGAGAGGAAAATGGAGAGCTCTACAGATCTTATGAAAACATGAATCCTGCTGGATCAGAGACTCCCCATTATGACCTCAATTACATCTTTAGAGGTCCTAATTTCTACAGTCACATTAAAATTAGGGTTTCAATGTGAATCTGAGGACACAATTGAGTCCATAGCAAGTGGGACACAGCCAAGACTGTGCTTCCGGTCTCAGAGCACGGGGCAGGTTCCCACAACTCAGCACACGAGTGGTTCCTCCCAGGTGCCGTGGTCACGGGGAAGATTTGACTGTAACTCTAGGGCTCCCTGTTGATAATGGGATACCAGCACTTCTACTTTCCCAGTGTTCCTAAGACCATGGCGTTGTCTTTTGTTTATTGTGGAGTGTGTTTGCCATCTTCAGGCAGGTCTTTGACATAGCAACTTACAGGACATTTGATTCTGTGATTATGAAAATTAATTATTGATTAATTAATCACAAATAATAAATTAAGAGATACATTTATTCAGAAAAGAGGAGGGACAAATGATGAGCTTAAAAAAAAACAGAATGTCTTAAGAAGACATATTCCTTCAAACAAGAACAGTTAGAGTCTCAGATTTTTAAACAAATGACTTTTTAGCAGCAATTATGAAATAGTAAATGACAACTTCAAATAAGCTACCACATATATAAGTTTATAGTCAAAATTATTTTCAAGAATCATGTAAACACATTTTCAGATTAAAACAAACAACAAAGGTGGGTTTATCAGCAGATCCACTCACTGGGAAATTTCTCAAATCTGTGATTGAGTCAAAAATACATTTGTCCCTGATGGAAAGTTCCATGTTTTTTTTGTTTGTTTGTTTCTGTTTTTTTTTTTTATCTTTAGAAGAAAACAGCTTTCTCTCCACTGTGTTCCACCTCATGCTGCTGAGGATGGCTGGACAGGCAGTGACTGAGGAAGGAGGAAGGCTATGTTCTGAGGGTGGTCGTGCCTCCTGCCCACTTGAGTGACCTCATGGAGCAGAGCCACCGACACCACCAAGGGCACCTGCCTGCCTCTGCGCTGCTATGGCACAGACACAGAAACCCTGTCACATTTAGTCCACCATATTATGAAGTTTCTTTGTAATAAATTTGATTATGCTCTCATTCTCCTTGTATCTCCCCTTTCAGTTTTTGGAATCATGTATTTTTCACCATTTTGACTTGAGAGTATAGGCCTTTGGGATATCAGCATCATGTAGGTTGCACATTTGTTTGCGTTTCCTAAAAATATATCTAACCACCTTGAATGGGGTTTGATTTTATCTTCTGTCTCCTGGAAAAGCAGAAACTCAAGGTGACTAGGTGCTGTCAATCACAGGAGGGGTAAAAGTGACAATGGTATTGCTTAGCTCCTGTTCTTGCTAGCTACATTTTATTTTCTTTTATTGCATTCTGTAATAACATTTAGGCTCAATGATGCATTAATTAGAATTTTTGAATGACATATTAAGTGTCTTATGTTTCTTAATTTGAGGACTACGATCTAATAAATATCTATATACATTTTGCCATGCAACTTTTAAACCTAACAGAAATGACACATTGGAATTTTAATTGCACTTACTACAGAATCCGTTATCTTGACATAAATCATCTTAAGTATAATTTAAGCCCTTAGCCTGCATCAGGATCTGGTTCTATTGATTCAATCAGCCTTTTCTGTCTCTACACTGTGTTACCACATGTGACAGACGTCACTCATTACAAGGATTCATATAAATTTATTTGGCAGAAAAATCAGATTATGGATGCAGATTAGTGGTAACACAAGTGAAATTCATGTTAGAAACGACCGATTTGGGGATAGTTTTCTACATGATAACACTTGGTCATATTGGGAAATTGCTATCTTCCCACTTTCCAAACTTTCTCTCTCATTTACCACTCACACGAAACTGCCCTCTCTAGTATTATGGTGGAGAAAGCACTACTGCATTTTTAACAGAAAGCATTTCTGTTCAGTTTAAAAGTTGCATGGCAAAATATATAGAGATATTTATCTGACCTTAGCTCTCAAATTAAAAAAGCATATAAATTTAGTGTACTATTGTCAATGGAATCTATTAGGAGCATATGTTTTCTATGCATTTACAACTAAAATAGAGGATTCAGATTTATTTTCAGGAAAAAAATAGTGTCATGTAAAAACGCATTTTTTAATTTTTAAAATCATTTTCTTATGACAACATAGTACTAAATATTTCTTCTCTAAAATACTATGTCAGCAAAAAACTTTTAAAATTCTTAGAATTTGAGAAGAGAATAAAAATCTCATATAATTCTACATTTTTCCTGTGGTACATTATGTAAACTTTTTGTTTTCCATCTGAATTATTTTGTTTATTTTCAAAGTCCACTATTGGAATTGCAAGAACTCCATTTTCAGTCAGCAAAAGGTAATTGAGGCATGTCAAGCTATTTTGGTATTAGGATCTTATATTTGACATGGTTTTTAAAAATCCATAAGTAGAAACAAATAAAATATTTTATATAATTTTTCTTAGCCACACTCCCCTGAGGACAACTGGTGTACAACGCTTTCTCCACCATAATACTAGAGAGGGCAGTTTCATGAGAGTCATAAAGGAGAGAGAAAGTTTGGTAAGTGGGAAGAGAACAATTTCCCAACATGAACAAGTGTTAGCATGTATAAAACTATCCCCAAACCAGTCACTTCTAACATGTATTTCACTTGTGTTACCACTAACCTGCATCCATGATCTGACTATTCTGCCAAATAAATGGACTCAACTAACATGGGCCAGACAGGGAGGGTGAGGATGGGCTTTCATTCACTCTCCTTTCATCAGAGCTGGTTGCTCCCAGAGCACGTGGCCACCTGTGATAGCTGATGGGGCCTTAACATGTGGGACTGAGGAGCAGCTGAGCCTGTCATGGGCCAGAGTCCTCAGCAGCAAACTTTGCCCTGAATTCTCCAAGAACCACCTCTTCTGCAGACCCAGAGACCCTACTGACCTGCTCCCCAGACAAGCAGTGCAAGTGAGCAACTGGGACACCCCAGAAGGCAGGTTTCTCTATGGGACTGTGCCATTGTGGGAGGAAGCTCTATATTTTGCATGCGGTAATAAATCCCAACATCCTCAGTCTCCACCCAGCTGATTTTCAGTGTGAAATCAGTGTCTGACCCACTGCCACGGAACCTGTCTGGGACTTGAGAGGCCCGGTTTGAAACAAAATAGATCAGGAGCTGTGGAGACTGGCCTGGCTTCTGCAGATACCAATACAAGTAGGTTTTTTCACCACTGTATGGAAGGCTCTGACTACACCTGCAGGAGGAGACAGAGGCTGGCTCTCCAGGGGTGACGAGCAGGGAGAGTGGAGTTTGTGTCATCACAATATCCCCACTGGACCCTGAAATAATATGAAAGAAGTGTAAGGTTGTATAGACACACCGTGAGCAACTTTCATGATTTCCCTTATGATATTGATTTACAGTTACATATTTTTTTCAAGTTTTGATTTATATCGTGAAAAGTAGACTTTCTAAAATGAACCCATTATTTACCAGCCAGTAGGAAACGCTTTATTTTCAAGATCTTAACCAAAGCATTGGTCATTGTTCCTGGGAGGTGAATCCTGATTATTCATAAGGCAAAAATATGAATTCTCTTTCCTGGGGCATAGACCGTGTGCCTCTAACACATGGTTGAAATAAATGTGGGAAGCTGTGGAGCACCCAGATCTCACCCTCCCACCCCATTTTGCCATCTCATTTTGCTTCTGTCCTTACCAGGGAGCCAGAGCATTAGCAGCCCCAGGAGCTGAGCAGGGAGCCTCATTGTGAGAAGGTGAACTGAGGAGTCCTGATCAGTCAAGGCAAGGTTTTTTCAAGAGTCTTTTATCTCAGACTCACAAGGGAAGGTCCTCCCTAGGGGACAATATGCAAAATCCCTTGTGGGTGCAGTAAAGTGGAAGGAGCCAAGGGAAGGGTGAAGGGGCCTCTCTTGTGAGAAAAGTTCCTTAAATGTCTTCTCTGTTTGGAGGGAAAACAACAGAGATAAAATCTATGCTGCATGAGTAAGATAAATTCCCTGTTCCCTTTTGTCTTCTCTCTTAGATTTCCTGTTTCTTAGCACTTCCCAGGGGCATTTTTCACTTCTCCTTAGAAAGGTTGAGATTCCATAAATAATTGATAATTCTTCTTTCTTTGTTCTTATTGGTTTGAGTCTAGAATTAGCTTTTTCAATTTTTTTTTTTCTTGAAGTAATACACATACCGAGTAAAGGGCTGAAATGTTAAATATGCAACAAAGTTTTATGTATGTTCTCCATCCTGATGAATCTCTAGAATATTTCAAATTATCCAGATTCATTCCTCATGCACCTTCCCAGGCAACAGCTGCTCCCCCATCCCAATCAGGGTAACTGGAATTCAGATGTTCATCACAATAGCTTGGTTTCTCTTGGACTAGAATTTCATATAAATTGAAGGAAACACACTTTTTTCTGTTTTGTTTTTTCCTGGCTTCTTGCTCTTTTCTTTACTATTATGAAATCTTCATTTATTTCTGCGCATTCAACTTACTATCTGTTCTCATCTCCTGTGATTCTGAAAAATTTCCTCTTGAATATCTTATAGAGCATATCTGCAAGGAATCATTTCTCTTCATTTTGTTCATCAGAAGTGTTTTTACTTTACCTTCATTTTTGAAGCATATTTTTACTGGATAATGAATCTCTGGTTGAGTCCCCTCCACCCAGCATTTAAATACATAATCTCACTGTCTTCTTGCCTTTATTGGTCCCATGAACAGTTAAACAAGGGTTTTATTGCTGTTTCCCTGGTATAATGAATCAGTTTTTTTTTTGATACATTTGAGAATTTCTCTTTGTATGTGATTCAGCATTTTAACTATAATCTGTATAGTAACGCATTTATTGATGTTTATCCTGTATAAGTTTCATTTTTTTTGATATTATAGACTAATGTGTTTCATTACTCTTGACACATTTGCCAGTATTTCTCAGGTATCTCAGGTGTGCCACCTCCCAGAGATGCTGTGTGGTTATTGTCTGCATTTCACTCTACTGTGTTGCTGTACATTCTCTTTTGATGTTATGTCTTAGGCAATTTCCAGAGCAGCCTCAGGCCAGGCTCTGGAGTGTGGGTGCTCTTGTAGTCACAGCAGCTCTGGGCCTGGGCCTGGACAGGTCCACATGGAAGTGGCTCAGGGTCTGAGTTGCCAACACAGGATGAGGTCCTAGAGCCTGGATCTGGGATGATGCAGTGTTGGGGCTGGGAGGCAGCCCCATCCCAGGCAGCACAACAGTGGCTGCTTCTTGGGAGGATGTAGAGGGACGGTATTGCAGGATCTCCCTCTCTGTGGTGATGTACATGCCCATGGCTGCAGGTATTTTTTAGTGCCAAAATCACCCGTGTCCTCTGTGAAGCAGGCTGCTGTGATCTTCATCAGTGAACACTAACGGACTTCCATTAGGAAAGCTGTAGAGTGGAGCTGCCTTGGGAGATTCTGAGATCCTCAGCTGCAAAGACTGCAGGGTCTTCCACAGAGCAGGCCGTGGGGACTGCAGTGGCCCTGCCTCCTGGCTGGTAGCAACTGCCTCCTGCTTCTTTTCTCCTAGATTTCTCAAAACTCTCAGGTGTGCCATCTCCCAGTGATCCTTTCTGTACGATTATTCTGGGCTTTTTTGCCCACTGTGTTCCTGCACTTCTTTAATTGGACTCTGGAGCTCTCCAAGGGCTATTTTTCTTCTTGGAGAGCTGTCTAATTGTTGGCTTTCCTTTTGTTTCTTTGTGTTTGTGGTTTTTTGGGGGGTAGGCATGTGAAGGCTGGTATCTCCTACTCTGTCATCTTGCTAATATCACTCCCCCAGGACAACATTTTGAGGGTACCCTAACACTATCATGGAATCATACTTGAGCATGTGGAGCTGAGAATTAGAGTATTTAGCAGGTGGGAGGAATGAATTGCTTTGGTCACAGGGTGCACTGATGCCTGTTGTATCCTCTAAGATGCCTGTGAGAAGAGCTCCCATTGTACAGTTCCTTCTAACAGCGTGATTTTGATGCTCCTCCCATTAAACCTACTGCCTTACACTTCATTTCTGCTGACTCTTGGTGGTATTGGACAGTGGTAAGGTAACACTATTTGCCTTCTGAGGCTATAAGAGGCCATTTAGGCTGCATAACTTCTGTCTACTCCTTAGGAAAGGGTTGAGTGAACCAAGTCCGCGTATGAATAGGCAAAGGGCCCCAGCTAAGAACTCTATATCTAGCATCAACCACCTTTGAGATGACACCTTCTCCACCCACCCTTTGACTGCATTCTTAGGAAAGCCTGGCAGGAAGCTTGGTGAGCTCAGGCAACACCCAGAACCACAGAGATGATAGACAGATGATTGCAGTTTACATGTGCCAAGTTTAGGAGTAGTTTTTGATGTTTGCATCAATATTACCCAGAATATCAACTTAGAGAAGGAAGATGAAAGTAGAAACCAAACTATTGGTAGACAAATGAATGTGAGTCCTTCTTATATTTCTTACAGTATTTTTGCAACTTGTCTCTGTTTAACATTATGGTAAAATAAAAAGGTATGAAGAATATATGCAAATGTACAAAAGGTTATGGAAAGAGAATCAAGGGACCCAATAAATGGAAAGTTATTCCATGTATATGTATCAGAAAACTTAATATTGTAAACATAAATCTCCCCAAATTAATTCAATATAGTCACAATCAAAAACACTGGGGAGTTTTGTTAAAATGGAAAGAATTTTTCTAACTCAGACAGACAAGCAAAAAAGAGGCAAAAAACAGCTACGGTAATCTTACATAAGGAAAACAAGATGGAAGGATGAACACTTCTTGATATGAAAACCTATGTTAAATAACCATTTTGTGGTGGGGTACAGTGATTCATGCCTGTAGTTGCTGCAGTTTGGGAGGCTAAGGTGGGTGGATAGCTTGAGCTCAGGAGTTTGAGATCAGCCTGGGAACTATGGTGAAACCCCACTGCTACAGAAAGCATAAAAAAATTACCTGGGCATGGTCGTGCATGCCTGTGGTCTCAGCTACTTGAGAGGGTGAGGTAAGAGGATCGCTTGAGCCTGGGAGGCAGAGGTTCCAGTGAGCTGAGATCGCACCACTATACTCCAGCTTGGAGAACAAAGCAAGACCTTGTCCCAAAACATAACTAATTAATTTAAAAATTTAAAAATTATTGTTCTAGTGAAGGGCGAGACAAACCAGTTCAATAAGTTAGTGAATCTGAAACCAATTTTGCATATATATAGTCACTCAATTTACAATAGAAGTCCTACGACAATTGTCTCAAGGCACTTGTACTGAGAAAAGGAAAAATGTAGACTGGGTAATTAATGAACAATACATATTTATTTTCTCACAGTTATGGACACTGAGAAGTCCAGGGTCAAGGCACTGGCAATCTCGGTGTTTGGTGAGAGCTGCTCCTGCTCCCAAGATGGCACCTTGTGAGTTGCATCATGACATGGTAAAGGTGGGCGGGCAAAAGGGGTAACTCTATGTGAAGCTGCTTTTATTAGACATTAGTCTTATTCCTGAGTGCAGAGCCCTCATGACCTAAACACCCAAAGAGTCCATCTTTTAATACTGTTACCATAAAAATTTACTTTCAGCAGGAACTTTGGAGAGGACACAAATGATCAGACGATAGCAGTCATTTAGTAGAAAAAAGTATAATATTCAATTATATTGAATCAATTAGATATCCATATTACATTAAAATGAATCTTAACCTGTATATTTTCCCTGTACATTGATACAAATATTAATTCTAAATGAATCATAACCTGAAATGTACAAGTCAAAAATATAAAGCTTTTCAAAAACAGTATGAAAAGGTATTTCATGACTATACATGTAAAAAAATAGACCATAAAGAAGGTCCATAAATCACTAAGTACAAAAAAAGTTGATCAACTAGTTCTCCCCAGAAAACTCAAAAAGTCAGAATGGTTTCTTTCCTCCAAATGACTGCCTCACCTCTCCATCAAGGGTTCAGAACTGGGCTGAACATGAGCTGGCTGAAATGATAGAAGTAGGGATGGAAATAAAGGTGACTGAGCTACAGGAGTATGTTGTAATCCCATTCAGGGAAGCTAAAAGTAATAAAAAATCATTTCAGGAGCTGACAGACAATATAGCCAGTGCAGAGAAGAACATAACCAGCATGATAGATCTGAAAAACACATTAGAGGAATTTCATAATGCAATCACAAGTATTAATACCACAATAGACCAAGTGAGGAAAAGAATCTCAGACTTTGAACACTGACTATCTGAGATAAGATGGGGAGACAGGAGGAGAGAAAATATAATGAAAAGGAATGAACAAAACCTCTAAGAGATACTGCATTATGTAAAGAGACCCATTTTACGACTTATTGGTATACCTGAAAGAGATGGGGCAAATGAAGCAAACTTCGAAAATGTATTTTAGGATATCATCTATCAGAACCTCCCCAACCTATCTAGAGAGGCCAACACTCAAATTCAGGAAATTTGGAGAAAACCAGTCAGATACTCTACAAGAAGATCATTCCCAAGACACATAATCATCAGGTTCTCCAAGGTGAGAATAAAAGAAAAAATATTAAAGGAAACTGGAAAGAAAGGTCTGCTCACCTACACAGAAAACCCATCAGATCAACAGTGGATCTCTCAGCAGAAATCCTACAAACTGGAAGAGATTGTGGGTTAATATTCAGCATTCTCAAAGAAAAGAAACTCCAACCCAGAATTTCATATCCGTCTAAACTAAACTTCCTAAGTGTGGAG